GAATCCAATGGTAATAGTTTCATCTTGATTGGATCGATGGTTGTGAAGTTATACTTCAAATAGCTTCTTTTCTAATATCAACAACGCTTCATTTTTTTTAGATTTGTGTAAACTAAGTCAAAACATATAATCAAAATTATGTTTTTTCTTTTTTTTTGTTATTTTTTACTTATTATTCACTAATTTATTTTTTCTGTAGGCTTTGAAATTAACATTTTTGGATATAGACTGAAAAAAGCATAGTATTAGACATGTTATTCTGATATAACAATTTAAGAATAAATATACGAAATAAGAATATAAAGAAGTTTTATCTTAGAACTTATAATTACAAATATAGATTTTATATATGAATTGCAAGCAATATAAATATGCAACTCTCTAAAAACAATACAGGAATAGAAATATAAAAATAAGAATTAATATTAATGAGAAAAAAATTAAAGTTGAAAATGATAAATATATATATAAACAAAACTATTGGAAATTTTAAATAGAATTAGAGTTGAAAAGATGATTATAATCAAAATTTAGTAGAATTGGAGTTAAAAAGAATGAATATAAAACATTAAAAGTTAGCAGTGCTGAAGAATTCTATTAGGATAATTATATTGTACTAAAAACTATTACAAAAAAAATTAGATAAAAATATAGATCTTCTTTAGTATATGTGGGTATATATAAACTATTACAAGACTATAATATATAAAACCTAATTAATTTGAGCTAATTTAAATTTTAACTTTAATCCAGATTCTAATAATATATAAAATTACTTAAGAGTAGAGGGTATGTAGATTATTTTGTCATATGATTTTGTGGTACAACATGATTTTTATAAGAAAATAGATATATGCTATTAATAAAACTTTTTACTATCACAATTAATTTTCACCAAATTTTTATTATATATAGTTTAGAATATGATTTTATAGTAATAAAGTTTTAATAGATAAAATATTTAAAAAATTATACTTGTATATATTATAAAGTTTGCTGGGATGACTTCAAATTTATTGGGGTTATACAAAATCAGTGTTTTTAATTGGTTCATATCATATGATCATCATATAATTTTTGTAAATAAAAATAATACTCAATCTTTAAATACATATTTCTTATTAAATATTTAATTGATAATTCGCTAATAAAAAATACTAAATGATCTGCAGCCACTAATAAAAAATTGGGATAATCATTTATATTAGATATTAGACACGTTTAAAATTTTTATTTCTGAGTAATCGCAATGTTAATATTTAACAAAAAATACAAAATACAGCTTTTAGCAGTTGGTAATATCATAAAACAGTTTCATTATAGTCATTTTGCTTCAAATTGGTAGTTTTTTAAGCAAAATATTTGGATGCTTTTTTGTATTAATTGTAGAATAAGAATAAATTTAAATAATGAATATTTTATAATATATATAATTGTTGAGAATAATTTGCCTAGATTTATTACAGAAATAGAACCGAATTATATAGTTTATTCTAGTATAACAGTAGCAATTAATTCCACATATTATCAATAATTTAAAATTAATATGTATTATTTAGGCTTAGATATTTTTAATAATGAAATAATGACTTAATTATTAATAGATATTCCATTTTATCCACTTCAAATTAAATATAATAATATTAAAATTTTTATAGCACAAATAGGTATCTTAAACAATGAAAATTTTAATTTTGCTAGATGTGGATATACATATATCTAGTTTTAGTCATAAAGTTTGTGGTGAGCAATGTTTAATTGTTCAGACTATTGAAGAAAATAATACAATTATTTATGTATATCGAAATAGATTACAAAGAGAAAAACATATTAATATATCACCAGAGAAAGTATAGAAAAAATGACCATTTGTCAAGACAAAAATCCAATGGCATTGTTTAGCTTAAATGACCCAATTGTTATTCAAGCATTAAAAACACAATTCAAATCTCCATTCTATAATTTTCAACAATAGTTAGACCTTGATATTATAACACCAATTTATGAAAAAGATCTTAGACAAAAAATTTCAAATACTAACCTACAATGGTATCGCTTTTTCATAAATTGGCTAAATCAAAAAAATACTATTATCGAACTTCAAACAGCATTAGCTCAAATTTATTCACCAAATCACACACATACAGACTATGAATTTCGTGCTTAGAAAAAAATGCTAAAAGATGTAGGGTGTACAAATATAACACTATTTACAAAAAAGAATCTCAGGTATTTCCAAATTAAGAAATTTTTAACATAGTCAAAACTCTATAATATACATGATCTAATTAGTTTTATATCAATATATAAGATTTTATACAAAATAGTAATATAAGAAGAATCACTAGTCAAAATTAAAAAATTTGACATGTCAAATAGTATAGTTCGAATGCCATTATATAATTTAAAGGACATGCACGTCTTCAAAAATTATATAATGTTTAAATTACAAGTCAAAAGGCATGCTGAATAGCATTCGAATTGTGCCATTCAACACATTGAATTGTTTAATTTCGACTAGTAAATACAGGTAATTCAGTGGATATAAATAAAGTAATTAATTTGGTTTTTTATCACTTGTACCTATATATACTGAATTAATAAAATTACAAGTTGAATTGTAATCAAATATGCTTTAAATATGCCAAATTAGTTATATGATATAATGTAATTATAGAGCTTTGACTGTAATAAAAATATTACAAGAAATATTACTTATATATATTATCGATTAAAATGTCAAATAAAAATAATAATACACTAATTTTTAAAAAATTGTTTTAGCTTGAATTTTGGATACGTGCTATTGATTTTCAACAGATAAAGAAAATATTTTGATATTATATCAGAATGGCTTATTAAATCTTAAAGAGAAAATGGTCGTTCAGCCACTACCATTAGAAACAACAAATGAAATACAATTTTAAAAAAGTTTTTCTGAATTACTTAAAAAAAACAAATGTGGATTAGATGAGAAACAAAGAATATTATCTATAATAGCGAAAAATTTCAAATTTAAAGAATTACAAGAAAAATTGCAGCCAAATTAGATATCAATATAAATTATGAATTATATAAATTATAAATATAAAATAATACCAGTAGTATTATATTATTATAGATTTCAAAATGTTTCATAATGGCAGCTAAAAAATATGCTAAAATAAATGGTCCTAGTTGTCCAGCATCAAAACCTATTATAGCTCGCTCACATATATCTGAAATTAAAAATCAACAATTCGAAGCATTTTTTTTAGACAAAAAAAATATTTCTATGAGTTTCTATGCAGTAGATTCAAAAACAAATTTGCCAATCTTGTATCTTAAAGATAATAAACAAACACTTTGGGAAAGGTTTGAAGCCACTTACCCTAATGAAATTAAAAGAACCTCTTTTATGGCATGATTAGAAAATGAGAGATATGTGTATCGACAAGATTTGAGTGGTTTATGCAATATTTGTAACAATTATGGCTATGAAACATTTGATTCATTAATACAATTAGTTGAAATAAATATAAATAAAGAACAGGAGTGGATAAGTGTATAATTAAAAAATATAATACTAATTTAATAATAGTAATAATAAAATAATCTTTTTTAGCAAACCTTAATAAATAATATTGAACTTCTTCAACATCATATAAGATGTGAATTTGAGAAAGAACTACTAGTTAATAGTAATGGAACAACTAATTATGTGAGCTGTATAAGTTATTGTCTTCTATATGCATTTGATAAGTATACTTATGTTTATTCTGCTCAGTTATTTAAAAAAAACATTACGTTCGGAACACTATTTGGTACTTCAAGAATATGAAGAAAAGCTTATTTATTTTTTGGTATATCAAGCACGAAAAGCCTATCTTAATAGTCAATTTACAGCTCAATTATTAGAAATGGATGAAAATGGTGCAATATTACTTGCTGACTATAAAATGAAAATTTTACCTAAATCAGCACATGAACAAAAAAAAGGCTTTTATGAAAAAAGAGGATGGTTGTTACATAGTATTCTTATATTTATAAAACAAAATAGAGTTATTGAGGTTCAAGCATTTGACCATTGGTCATCAGATACCAAACAAGTTGCTTGGTTCATGGCCTCCTCATTTGATGCAGTATTTGAAACTCTTAAGCCTAAACCAAAATAGATAAAAATATTTTCAAATAATGGTGGTCATTATCACAGTTCAGAAATGTTAGCTATAGTTCAGAATTGGCAACAGTAGTATAATATTGAAGTACTTGGATAGTTTTTTTTTGAAGCCGGAGAAGCCAAATCACTTGTTGATTCACATCACACTATGGTTTTTTTTTTTCAAAATTTATCTAGTTATTAATTCTTATTAATTTTTGTTTCAACAGATTTCACATGCAATAAAAAGATATATAATAATAGAAAATACCTTAGACTCAGAAGAATCAATTGTATCTGCTATTCAGAATCTTGCAGGAACTTACATTGCAAATATGGAACCACAGAAAGATTATGTATCTGTTAAGATGATAGAAAAGATATCTTGTTTGAATTATTGGGAATGGCCTATTGTTAGTAATTATGCTGGTTTTATTCAGGGTAGAGATTTGCCACACATTGGAGAAGGGTTCACTTTTCATTTTTTGATATAGAAAAATTAATGGAAGAACCAATTTATAAATCAACACCTAAAATTTCACCTTACACAACACCACAAAAGTTATAGAAATTTTCTATCCCTCATGAAAATAGTAAGTACATATAATTACTTGACTAGAAGTTTATTTTGTATAATGCTAAATTATATTATAATTATATATAACAAGTCAAAAATAATTGAAGAGAAAGATAATGGTAAGTAAAAACAGAATGCTTTGAATTCACTATTTTAATAATAAACTCTAACTGTGTAGAAAAAGATGAGTTGAATAATCTCAAGCTCGAATCAGATTTTCCTTTTGCAAGTGGTTGGGCCTTGAAAAGTAACTAGAGATTAGGAAAGCGTGGCTCTCAAAAAAGTATGAGCAAAAAAGTAAAAGACTATTTGAAAGCATTTTTTACTGCAGGTAACATAGACAAAACAGAGCATATGTCAGCTATAGAAATGGTAAAGGCATTGAACAAGTTGGTTGAGGAAGGTGAACTTTAAGCTGATGAAATTCCCAAAGTTAATACTGTAGAATTATGGATTGCTAGATATTCACATTTAGTACACATACTTGCTGCTGAGGAAAGACAAATTAAATCTCATACTAGTGATCTAATTCAGGCTGAAGCGATTGAATCAAGTAAAAATAAGCATGAGATTACTAGTAGAATAGTTGGTATATTTCGTAATAAAAGAAAATGAAGAATAATGTCTTAATCTGGCCAAAAATAACATTTTGCATTGGCATTTTTATTTGTAGATTTGTAAATCTAACCACAAAATCTCTATTTCTGGTATAGTAAAGGTCAAAACAAATGTTCAAAAGACATCTATTTTTTTATATTACATTATTTGTAACTTTTCTGCATCACTTGTGCTTTTATTAGTCAAAAGCACATAACTGAATAAAAAGTTCTGCAAGTTCTAATCTTCACGACCTCTGCTAAGTTACATAGTAATTGACTCTAGTTTAACACTATTGATTGGTTCTCTTTATTTACAGATTATCAATTAATAATTTTACTATCATTAGTATCAGAAAATCCTATTCTACAAACTTTACTTAATACACTAAAACAATTAGCTTATAAAATATTTTTAAATATTAAATATAAAAAAAGTAAATATTATTATAGTACTATAGTGCTATAGTGCTACTCTGTATATAAATACAAAAACAATCTAATCTTTACAAAAAATTAAACCTTTAATTAGTTTAGTTTAAAGCAGGAGTTAAAGTTAAGCAGAGCATTGGTATACTAAAATTTTGCAAGAAAATTTTTTTATTAGAACACAAAAGATGGTTTTTTAAGTAAAATTTCGAGATATAACTAATTTTTAAAAATTTATTATTTTTGTTACACAAAGAATGATCTGCATGTTATACCTGATCTTGAATTTTAATTGATTACAATACTCTAGCAACATAGTGCTATAGCACTATAAATTAAATCCCATAAAATATATACCAACAAGATCAAATAAAAAATGATCTATGTACTCCCTACTCTTAATAAACAAATCATGAGTCATTTAAACAAAATATTTTTTTTATATATAAATTTTACTATAAGTGCGAATATGAAGCGCATCTATCTAAAACTTTTTTTCTTACTAAGTAAATCACTCTTGGGCTTGTAACAAAAGTTGTAGAGCTCATCAAGCGGTATCTAATAGTAGTAAGAACATTAAAATTAGCTTGGTAGTTCTTGAAAACTCTTTAAAAAACTTCTTTTTCACATTTAAAAAAAATCAATTTTTTTTAAAGAAATTTTATATGTGAGAAAGAAGTTTTTTAAAGATTATTCAAGAACTACCAAGCCAATTTTAATGTTCTTATTACCATTAGATGCCTTTTGATGGGCTTTACAACTTTTGCTATAAGCCCAAGAATGATTTACTTAGTAAGAAAAAAAGTTTTAGTTAGGTGCACTTCATATTCGCACTTATAATAAAATTTATATATAAAAAAAAAATTTTGTTTAGATGACTTGTGATTTGCCTATTAAATTTATAATTGTATACTGTATTTTTCTAAAAATAAACATATCTTTTTTGCTATAAGGTTGCTTATTTTTAGATATAATCACATCTAGTAATTTGAATAACTTGATATTTTTTTGCTTATTTCTATTATATAAGAGGTGCTTATTTTTGGGAATATATTAATTGTGAGAGATGCTTATTTTCAGAGTGTTTATTTTTAGAGAAATATGGTAATAATTATATATACTCATTTATATTAAAAATTAACCAAAAAGGTGATTATGATAGCATAGTATAGTGTTTATTATATAATTATTATTTAATAAAAAATTATATAAAAAGTTTAAATATACTCATTTATATTAAAGATTAACTAAAAAGGTGATTATGATAGCATAGTATAGTGTTTATTTTATTTTATTTTATTTTTTAAGGTGAGGTTTTGCCTTTATCTTTATTAATAATTTGTTTTGAGAATCTACTAGGGGTTTCTCTGATCTATAAGACCAATAATTACAAATTTTTTACAAGAATGAGACTCAGACTATAGATATTTAACTATCTAATTT